GTAGTAGTAGTAGTAGTAGTAGTAGTAGTAGTAGTATTACTCTACGTAGTAACTGGTCCTGATGATTGGAGACAGGAACTGAGTAACTACCAATAAGAATCAATCGTCTCACCATGGAAGTCGGCGGTGTTGACCAGGTAGGTGTGGCGTTCTCCCAGGTGAGCCAGCAGGGGGCGGAGTGTTGCGCTGTCTCCGGCCAGCGCTGCCAGGTGGAGTGGGCTGCGGCCGTCTTTGTCCACCAGGCTGGGGTCCGCCCCTGCCCGCAACAACACCTCCACCACCTTCACCTGTCGCGTGATGACGGCCAGGTGGAGCGGTGTCTGCAGGGGAGGAGTCAGAGGTCAGGTGTGTCGGTTCAGGTAAGAGACAGGTCAGAGGTCAGGGGGGCGGGGTTACCTGTCGGAGGTGGTTGGACACGTTGAGGACGTTTTGCTGTTGGCTGCTGAGCAGAGTGTGAATGAGCTGCTGAATCACACCTGTCTGCTGGTGGATGACGGCCAGGTGCAAAGGACTGTGGGAGAAAAGGCGGGTGGATCTTTTTATCTCCTGATGTGATGGTGATGTCATCAGCCAGACAACAAAGTCAACACTCACGTGTCTCCGTTGCCGTCCTGGACGCCACAGAGGTGTCTCTGGATAGCCAGGAGGACGCGGGCGTCCCCGGTGCTGCAGTACTGCAGCAGGGCGGCGGCGGTCTGTCTGGCGCTCTGAGACGCTCGGTTGTGGAGCGCTGCAGCTGGAAACACGACGCACAGCGAAGGTCACGTGTTAACGACACACAGAGGGTCACGTGATCACGACCAAAATCTGTAACTCACCAATCTGACAGAGCTGCTGCTGGAGAGGAGAACCTGTCATCTGTCCGTCACTTGGGTGCTGGGCAACATCTGTCTGAGGGGTGGAGCCTGACATATGAGCCCCTCCCCCTCCACTGAAGCCAGTGAAACCGCCGGTGAAGAAAGCTCCTCCTCCTGCTCCTCCTCCTCCTCCTCCTCCGTTCATCTGCTGGTTGAACTGAAATCCTGCAGGAAACATCGTCAGGTTTAATTATTGATTGATAATTGATTGATAATTGATTGATAATTGGTTTATTTCCATCATGATCCCGACAAATAAACACAAATGAACAAACACATAAACTGTAAAAGTCACGTGCAGCAAATGAACTGACTGGTTTGAAAACATGTGATCGTCATTAGTGCTGATGTTTGGAAATCCCCTCTAACGAGGCTCAAAGTTTAAACTCCGTCAGTCGTCCTTACCTCCTCCTCCTCCCCCACCACCTCCTCCGAAACCCCCAGCTCCTCCTCCTCCTCGCCCTCCTGCTCCTCCTCTCCAGGGTTCATAGTGAGGCAGCGGTTTCTGCTTCTTCCTCAGTACCTCCTCTTTATCTAAGAGAGAGGAGATGAGGAGGAGAGGAAACAAGGAGAGCAGGAGGAGACACGGTCACAGAGATGACAAAGAGGATAAATCGTCGTCTTCATTCGAAACGTTTCTTTTGTTGATGCTCACTGAAAACTGAAACCAGGATCTGTGACCTTTGACCCCCAAACAAACAACTTCCTGTCTCTGTTCCCCGAATGTTTACAGATCACCTGACCACCTGATCATTGATCCATATTAGTCACATTAACGTCGGCTGACCTTGGACATGTGGGACGTAGGTGAACTGTTTGGGGTCACTGCTGTCACCGGCCTTCTTCCTCTTCAGCTGCAGGAAGACGGTGACGGGACGCTCGATCTCTGCGCTGTGATAGGGCGGAGTCTTGAACACGATGGCGTACTGAGGAGAGAGAGGAGACGATCAACACTCGTCTGTACCAGAGTAAAAAAGTTTAAGTTTTCATTCTGAAGTTTTGCTTCGATGAAGATTAATCATTATCACACAAACTAAATAAATGAACATTTACTTTCTGTTCATCATCGTTTGTTTCATTTTCTCCATCGACAAATAAAAACACACATTCACTTTTATTGTGAAAATCAGAGAAACTTCCTGAAAATGTCTGACTATCAAAATAAAACTGAATAAAAAACTAAAGCATAGTACAGACAGACACACACACACAGACACACACACACACACACAGACACACACAGACAGACACACACACACAGACACATACAGACACACATACAGACACACACACACACACAGACACA